GAATGCTTTGTTCATTTTTAAGTCAGTAATTAAAATAACTATAATAATCTCACTACAATAATTATAATTACAATAATAATAATAATAATAATAATAATAATAATTTTAATATTGGTTGCCTTTTTGCCCTTTAAACTTCGTTTCCTTTTGTTGTTATTGTGATGTGGGTCTATTTGTTGAAAAATGTTTAAATGTTGGTTGTTTAGATTTTTCTGCTTGAACCCTTTACTTTAGTAAAATTCAACCCATTTTGAGTGATGAATATACAATGATTTGATTTTATTTGAATCGGAGACCTAGAGATCTCCACGTTTTAGCCTGTCTCTTATACACATCTAGAACGTTTTAGCGCACACAGAGGCTACCACCAGCTTAGGCAACTGAGCTAAGCTGCTCTGCTACCTGGTTATAAATCTATAAGGTACCATTCCAATATTTAATAATAGGCTCTATTACAGTAACACTATTAAAATTCAGAGAAGGACAAAAATTTACTTTCGCCATAAAACATTGTACAGTAAGCCTACGACTTCTGGATCACTTTTTCTTCAGGTCATCTAATATGCTTGAAAATATCAATATAAAGACGTAACAAAATTCATTGATTGTTTTTAATAAAGTGTTACTTTAATACCAAAAAATATGTTGTTCTGAAACATGATAAGGTCAATCTGAATAAAATGACCCCATCGTCCTGTAAGGTCCAATTGATGATGTTGCAGGCGTTTATCATCCGAATATCTGAATTATTAGTAGGCATTTAATGTATACATTATTTTAATAGATTTCAACATGCTGTGTATAATATTTAATATTAGGCCTACTATGATGGATAACCATGTATTTTATTCTTTATTTACTGACATGTTTAAAGTCGGAGGCGGACTTTAAGGTGGGTAGTTATGCAGCCGTCCGGGGCTCATACATTTTTTTTAAATTAAAAGAAAATATTTTGTCAAAAGCGGTTGTATTATTAGATTGCTCGGTAGTAGTAAGTAGGGACCATCGCCTTTCAGGGATTCATTTGGAAATGGAGGAAGTAAGCGTTTCCCTAGAAAGCACACAGGCATTACATAACTGGTCAAACCTCCATAGTGGGCATCCAGGGGCATAGTTTAAATAACCCCTTCTAATAAATCTGCCAAATATTGTGTTTGTGGGATTTTGGTCTATTTGGTTTTTTCGGAAATTATAGAAAATGTTACGTTTTGTTAAGGCGTTGTAGGAGAGTGCTGAGTATCAGTGTTACTGTAAGTAAAAGTATCTAACCCTCTCCAGGGCCCTCTCCAGGGCGCATTTGGACTCGGACTTGGACCCCCTCCCCCGCCATCCGAGAGCTCACGAGTTACGCAAATGGGTCCTGTTTATTTTATTATGATATGCCATAATTGGACTTTATGGGACAATACATGAAACACTACACCGTTTCTGATATATAAACTGCAATACATTATTCAGCATCGGAAGAGCTTTCCAACGATACCAAACACGACTACTTTTGGTGAGTTTATATACTTATTCTTATTTTATACACATTTTAAGTATATTTTGCGGATATTTTAAAACAAATAAACACCTATTTTTGAATTATGTTCCATTCTGGCATGAGTGACAGTAGGCCTAGTTTTTATATGTCTGGTTTGTTGCATGTATAGAAATTAGGATTTTAGACACCAACATCATATCTGTAGCTTATTTAGTTACAATTATATGCACATTTTAGATCAATTTGGCGGCCATTTTGAAAAATGGCCGCCATTTGTATACCAGGTGAAAAATCAAGTGTCAACAAGGCTTAGGGTGACCAGGGCGGATTAATTAGGATATCTGGCTATGTTGACTGCTTCTAACATTCCACTCTCCCTAACTTGATTTCTAGGCCTCTTTTTTTATTTTTTTTCCTAGTCTAAAAGTTGTATACAAAGTTCCGAACATCGTAATGCAGTTTCAATAGTAAGAGACAGGGGATAGCTGGCCCCTGCCATTCGTCGGGGAAAAAACCATAATTCGTCGGGTGATAAAAAAAATTATATGTATTCTGTACATATTAGTAGACTCTAAAATCGATTAAATAAGCCTTTAAAACCCATAAATTGTCAACCCCAGACTCCCAGACCACTTTCGAAACATTTTAAGCCACGCTCGACCACGCCCACTTTGCTCTCGTTAGGGAAATCCTTCCCCTCGTCGGGGCATCGCCCCCACCCCCGGGACCTCAGACCCCCTCCCCCACCTTGGGCAAATCCTGGCGCCACCCTGGTAAGAATGAACATATGAGAGCTAGAATAATAATAGTTTAAATACCTAATGTTATTTAGAAAGTGCTTATTTTTACAGTGCATGATGTGGACATACGGTACGGATATGCTTAAAGTCTATACAACCAATATCAATTTATTTCAAAATATTAAAATTATAATTGGTGGGGGGGGGGATGGGCGCAACTTTCTACTCTTGCCCCCGGGCGCCAGAACCTCTAACTACGCCACTGCCCGACAGGGGGTGTCCGAGGTGCCCGACAGGGGGTCCGAGGTCCCCGACGAGGGGGCGGATGTCCACGACGAAAAAAAGTAGGCGTGGTCGGCCGTCGCTCAAAATCTCTCGAAAGTGTTCCAGGGGGGGGCGAATCCCCCCCCCCAAATATGGCAATTTAGGGGTTTTCAAAGACTAATTTAATCGATATTGGAATATATTATATATTCCAGGCCCAGTGCATACAATGGCTCTTGTGCACTATAAAGAACCCAGTACATCATTCGAGACGAGTAGGGTGATACCCCGGTGTACTGGAACAGACAGCCCCTGTGGTGGACGGCGAGAGTTGCTAGTACCGGGTTACCAGGTAGCACAGACACGAAGGGACCCTTAGGGGCGAAGAAACTCATTGATCGAGTTCCTAGTCCACATATCAACGCCCTGAGCATCTTACATTAGATGAATATGTGCGCTATATAAAACTACACTATTATTATTATTATTAAATTATTATTATTATTATTATTATTATTATTATTATTATTATCATTATCATTATTATGCAGAAAATACATTTTTTTCCTTCCCGACAAATTGTGGTTTTTCTTCCCCACGGGGTCCTGCTCCCGGCCCCCGCCGGCGCCACCCCTGCCTACAACTTGAGGGCTCACACATAGTGGAGCCAATGTTTAAGCTACGTAATGTCTTTATACTTTTGGTCTGAGCTGTTGGTAAATCATGGAAAATAATATAAGGGGTAATCGTTGTAATTGGTGGTAAAGAGAGGAATCTGCGAGTGTGAATAATCGCCATGACAAGGGTGCATCTGTTTTGTAGGGAGACATTCCATGAGACCACACCCACCTCAGTCCCATCATGGTCCCATCATGGTCTTATATAGTAACATTCATCATCATTACACCACCCTTACAGTGAAAATGAAGCGCCAACAAATTTCTCTTCTATCAGCGCTTTTCGGCGAACCATAGAGATCTAATTAATATGTGTGATGTACCATAGTAAATTCACTTTGAAACATTGTCTTTGATGCATTTACTTTACTCTACCTACTCAAAGCCACGAGTCCGCACCCATCTCAGCCCCACCATGGTTGGAGCTTATGCTTATGAAAATTCGGGTAAATTGTACCTCTAATAGATGGCCGGAAATGACACTTTTATATAGAAAAATTCATCATCATCACATTGACATTATATAGTCAAAATGAAGCGCCAACAAATTTTCCAGGACCTTTTATCAGCGATTTTCGGCAAACATAGCGATCTAAATAATCTGTGTGATGTACCATTGAAAATAAAACTAAGAACAAAATATTGTCTTTGATGTATTTACTTTACTTTACCTACTTAAAGCCGTGAGTCTACACCCATCCTAGCCGCAACATGGGGGGATAAATCGTCTCTAGCTTACCGCCGGAAAATGACACTCTTATAGTTAAAAATTTATCATCATCACATCACCATTATCAGGGGCGGATCCAGAGATGTCTGAAAGGGGGGGGGGGGTGCCGAAAGTGGGGCCGATCAAGATAACACCAGCCTAAGGGGTCACGTCTGGGGGCATGCCCCCGCGTGAAATTTTTGTTTAGGCCTTCTTTTACTTTCTTTCCTTCCCCCACCTTGTTTTACTTTCCAAAAAAAGGAGTTGGGAGAGGACATCCCCCACCCACTAAATCCGCCCCTGAGTAACCTTAACAACCTAGCTGACCTTCTTGACTTTTAATCTATCGATTTATGCCTAGGCCTACTGTAAGTCAGAATCACACTTTCCAGTTGAGCATTATTGTCTGTTACTCCACTTCGTATACCTAACCACTTTTCAAATTTAGCTTTTGTCCATTTTGATTGACTTTTTATTAATTTTTTTTCTATTATTGTATTTCCACCATGGATTCCAAACCTGCGCCCTAATTTCAAAATCATTACTAGGCCTACTAACTTTGCCTACCATGGAGTTATTATTGAAACTAATACCGGTAACAACTATATGTTGTGTAAAGTCAATATTGTAAGCAATTACTGACAATTACGAACACACTCAGGCAATAAATATAGTTCTACTATTTTTGTATCATAATACAGTAAGTACTGTAAATTATTTTAAAAGGCGCCCTCTAATTCTAGCCTTCACCTACCACCTCTTTGCTTGCTCTTGTGACGTCATTCGAGATTCGAGCGTGTGTTCTGAGCTTGAGCTGCTTAACTCTCTCTCTAGAGTCTAAAGCACGTCCCTGGGTAATTCGGTATCGTGCTCCTCCGATTCATTTGCAGAGTGCAAAAGAGGTTTCGGTTTAGTTACAACATTGATTCATTCATTCAGCATTTTGTTCAGTTTACATTTCGTCAATCGTCATGGGGGAACAAAGTAAAGTATGCATCATAGGATCTGGAAATTGGTAAGGCTAGCGTTGGTCGTCGTATCATGGGAGTACTAAAGTAAATGCAAGCAGGGATGTACACTGTATTTTGAAGGGTAGCAGTTGACTTCAAATACGTACCTGTTCAACGGCGTAGGCCTAGGCTAGTAAGGGCTGTAATATCTACCTATCTATGTGTCCTTTGACCTTATCCGAAAGTGCTTTGTCAAAATAACTCCCTGGTTTTTCAGTACAGCTAGGCTCTAGTTTGATCTCATCAAAGCAAAAGGGAGGTATGTTTAAAGTTACCGCAATCAAAATTTATATAAAGCAAAGAGCAATACATGATAGGCCCTAATAATAATGAAAGACAGGCCCATAGGCTTAATAAAATATTCAACTCTGTTCAATTTACTTGTGTCCGAATGTGTGACGACAAAAACAATCCTACTGTAGATGATGATTTTTTAGTAAGAGAGCTACAATGGTCATGAATTATACACATACTGTATTTTTGATACTACAGTAATAGCAATATTTAATATTAAATTTATGCATGAGATTTTAGTCCTCAAGTGTGAGATGAGACATACCTTAAAATGTGCAAGTGTCACGCTGAATGCAAGACTTGTTGCTTTACAGGCTGTGAGAAAATAAGGGTGTAATGTTGAATACTCAGTTCTACATTTGCTTATCATTTTATATATTGTTTTATTTGAAAGATGTATAAGAAGAGCAATGAATGTATTTTTAAGTTTGGACAAACCAAAGCATATAAACAGATGTCTGAATCAATGAGGGACTTGTCTTTGCATACTGTATGCCATCAACTTTTGTTAATGCACAATTTTTGATAGGCTGTGGTGTACCAGCTACAACCTTTGTCTTGAAATTGGATGCTATTGAATCTAGGTTATTGAAATTTATGGCTTTGAGGCTTATTAACCAGTTGTGCAAGCTATTTGACCTCAAAATAACTCATTGGGTTCAATATTATCTCTGTGGCAATTTGTAAACTAAACAACATTTAAATCAGATTTCCTTCCTTGGGACTGCATCCCAGGCCTCAGTATAGTTAAGATTCTTATAATAGTGAGATAAGACAAAACAACAACAAATCATGCAAGGAAAAAAACTTATTAAATTATTTACATAAGTTTCTAGAATTTTAAAATTATATTTTAAAATATTAGAGTGTGGTAGATGAGTTTTTTTTTTCTTGTAAATAATTGCCCATTAAAATTATTATGGAAGATTTTAATTGATATACCTTAAGTAGAATTACTATTTGTCTTCGTTCGACAGGGGCTCTGCCATTGCAAGGATTGTTGGTGCAAATGCAAAAAAGGGTGATGAATTTAATAGCACAGTTAACATGTGGGTATTTGAGGAGATGATTGATGGACAAAAACTTACAGAAATTATCAACACAACACATGAAAATGTTAAATACCTCAAAGGCTACAAATTGCCTGAAAATGTGGTAAGTTCATTGTCTGAATCTTTTGAAGAAAGGAGTAGATAAAATTTATTTCTTTTAATTTCAATTATAAGATCATGGTTTGAAAGCTTGTGGGGAAAAAATTTTTAAAATTTTGACCACATTTGGAAACCCTAAAAAAATTCAATTTTAAACATTGACTTAATTATTTAAAATAAAAGCATCGAGCTTCCAAAGAAACAGATCGGCACAATTCAATTTTCGTTATTGGAATTGATTAGCATCAAATTTAATTGCGTATAAAGGAATATAGGAAGGGCATTTCAATTAATATACTTTCATTAATAATTTAATTAAATTTAAATATACAAAATAACAAAATCCAAAGTTTGGTTTTAATTGTTCAAGTTGTATAGTTCAACACCAGTTCTAGGTGTACATGAGTGGGGAAGCATCGAGCCCCCACTTCACCTTTGCGTCCCTCATCAGTTCCCCCATTTCAGGACTCCTAGATACACCACTGTTCAACATAGGCAGTGCCATATATCTTGGTTTTGTTTCCATCTAGATTGCAGTACCGGATATTACAGATGCCATTAAAGATGCCAACGTCTTAGTGTTTGTATTACCACATCAGTTTGTTCCCAAGATATGTAAGCAGATGAAGGGCAAGATTGCACCTGGTGCTTATGCAATCTCATTAATTAAGGTAAGAAAATACATGAAAAGCTTTGGGGAGGGGTCCACCTCGATATGGAGGCAAATTCCACAAATACCGTAAAGCCTCGAATTAAAGCCCAATGGGCTTAATCTCGAGATGAAGCCCTTCTTTTTGAATTGAATTCCCCTCTTTAGTTTGCAAAATTAGTCGCGAAAAAAATCCCATAGGCTTCTTTTCAAGATAGTATAGGCTTCTTTTCAAGATAGTACAGTACATACACTGTACATGTAAATTGAAAACAAGCTTGGTTTATACAGTAGTTTTGGTGATTTAATGCCAGTAAAATACACTCCATGATACAGATTGATGTTACAGTGGCCTTATTTATTGCTTCATAACTATACAAATTCACACCCCTCTTTACTTTGCAAAAGTGGCCTCGAAAAGAAGCCCATCCAAAGTTCGCAAAAAAAAAAAATAGGCCCAAGGCTTCAATTTAAGGTTTTATGGTATATCACAAGTTGATGAGGCGAGACTTTTCTTATACCTTGTTTAGCGAACCCGCCAACTTCAAATATTGATGATTTTGAATAGAAATAAAATTTTATTTTTAGCCAATTAGCGCACCTGCTGCTACAAAAAAGTGGAAATTTCAGAAAAAAATAAGTTTTTCTTATTTTTAGTACGCCCTCCGCTGCCTTAAAATCTCCAAAGATAAGATATGTATATTTCTTCCTAATTATATAAATTTGAAACATTTAACCATCCTATTTTACATTCACCAATAAAATTTTATTTTTATTTTCTCGTCCATCTGGATGTTTTTTGCTAAATAAGAAATCAAATTTTTAATTTTTAATTTTATTTTGCCCTCCGATGATCTTTAAAAAAATAAGTATGCGAAACAAAGAATAAAACAAGTCTCGTCTGATGTGTAAAATTATTGCAGTACATGCAGATTGTACACCTACTGTACACATAGATTTGGATGGTGCACCTATTTCTTTTTTTCCTTCTTGTATTCATTATGGTCATTATTAGGAATGGTGCATTTTAAATAAACTTCATAAATTTGCATTCCTGATCAATGTATTTATGAATTGTTTTTCTTCTCTAGGGTCTTATGAGCACAGAAGGTGATGCTGGGATTGAACTCATCTCCAAGTACATCAATCGAGAACTAGACATTCCTGTTAGTGTGCTTATGGGAGCCAACCTAGCACCAGAAGTGGCAGCTGGAAATTTCTGTGAAACTACCATAGGTTGGTAATGCATTTGATGATGATGAGAAAGGCAATGGTGAAGGCAGTGATGGTGAGGGAGCTAGCTATGGTGATGATGTTGAGGATGGTACTGGCAATGATTATGGTTGTAAACAATGACAGTTATGGTAACTGGGGTGATGGTGGTAGTGATAATGGCAGTGATCATGGTTTTTGAGGAGGACAAGAATGGTGGTGATTGCAGTGATGATGGTAATGATGATGGTAACTGCAATGGTGAGGATGTGATGGTGATGACAATGATGAAGGTAGTGATTATTGCGGTAAAGGTGATGGTAGTTATGTTGATGGCATAGTGATAATGGTGTTACTGATGATGATGATGATGATGGTAACTACAATGGTGATGATGGTGATAATGATGGTAACTACAAAGGTAAGGATGTGATGGTGATGACAATGATGAAGATAGTGATTGTTGCGGTAAAGATGATGGTAGTTATGTTGATGGCATAATGATAATGGTGTTACTGTTTATGATAATGGTAGTCATGATGGAGGAGGTGGTTATGATGGTGCCACTGGTGATTACATATTAATGTGTTAATCTATACTCATCTTAATTTGTATAGTTTTTGCAAACATTAGTTCTGGATATGTAGTTTTTACAGTACAATTTTATTATATTGTAATAGTATAAAAATAATCAAGTGTTATGTATAACTTCCTAGGATGCACTGATGAAGTTCAAGGACCAACCTTAAAGAAACTCTTCCAATCAGAAAGTTTTCGTGTTGTTGTAGTTGGTGATTCAACTGCTGTTGAGCTATGTGGTGCTTTAAAGGTAAAAACTAAATCCCCCCCCCCAACTTGTTTTTTTTTTACCACCTCCTACATCTGCCACTTGTAGTGGCCACATGTAGTTAAGAACATGATAAGAAATACTGTAAGGTGGTACAGTATGTTCTGTGATTTCAGTGATGGTTGTGACTTGTACTCTCAACTAGGAGGTTGGGGGTTCAAAACAATGGGCGGATTTAGGGGGTGGCCAGGCCGGCCCTGTTCCTACCTCCTTTTTGATAGTAAAAAAAAAGAAAGAAAAAGAAAAGAAATTGATTGCCCAAAACGGCTCAGAGGTTATTTTCGGGCAACTAGAAAACAAAAATTCTGCGGGGGAATATCCCCGGACCCCCTAGGGTGGTGTTATCTTGATCGACCCTACTTTTGGCCCCCCTCCCCTTTGGACATCTCTGGATCTGCCCCTGAAAACCCTCACTCTATAGCACATTATGGAATGCTCACACAGGGGGTTGAGTATGTGTTCCATGGGCATTATTCTAATTATTCTAATAATAATGAGAAGCGCTTTGAGACTTTGTTGTGTAGAGCGCTATATAAAAAGAAGACGTACTATTATCAAGTATTTGATTTCATTGTAGAATATTGTTGCCGTTGGAGCTGGTATTTGTGATGGACTTAGCCTGGGAGACAACACCAAAGCAGCTATTATTCGATTGGGCCTCATGGAGATGATGGCGTTCGCAAAGGAGTTCTATGAGGGTGTAAAAACAGAGACTTTCATGGAGAGCTGTGGTATAGCAGACCTTGTCACTACCTGTTATGGTGGACGTAATAGGCGCATAGCTGAAGCCTTTGTTAAAACGGGAAAAGTGAGTAATATTGTGAATGATTTATGTAAGCTGACATCATAACTCCTGCTACTCAATTGTAAAATACCTTGGCAAAATCTTGTGCTTCCACCCTATTATTGGCAGAGTAAACTTGAAAATTATTTTACTTTTCTCTTATATCTTTATTCAATTTTAAATGCCTAACGTAAAAAACACAATGTAGAAAGATAGTTAGCTTACACAGGCATCATAGATGGTAATAAATTATAATGCATTGTAAATCAGTGAAAGTGTATTTTGATTTTTTAAGTGAGCAATTTTAATGTTTTAATTCATCTTTTGTCACTTTTCAAAATTGTTACTGTCTATTCCTTAATATGATTTTTTTAAAAATTTTTAGTCAATTGAGGAACTTGAGAAAGAAATGTTAAACGGACAAAAGTTACAGGGACCACAAACCGCTCATGAGGTGCATTTTATGTTGAAGAACAAGAAACTTGAACAGAGGTAAATTACGCTTTTTTTTTTTATAAGAACCAGTAAAATTTTTCCCAGGCTCAGTGCTCTTATTTTGTTCTTATGTTGCACACTTTTCAAACATAGAAAATTATTATTGTACAGCAGTATGCACTGTACTGGAATATAGGTAAAAGGGGCCCCGGAAAAATGGTCCCTTAAAAAACGGCCCTGAAAAAATGGCCACAGAAAAAAGGCCCAATAATATGGGTTCACATCTAGGGACATAGGCTGGTTTCCACCTGGGGATGGGGAGTGAAATTCAGATTGTGGAGCTAAATGCTTATTTCAATCATTTTTATAAACTGCTTAGGGGCACTAATTTGCCTCTGCTCATTAACACTCTCTTGTTCAAATATTTTTCTCTCAACAATCGACAGTTGATTCTGTAAATCACTAACTAAAAACTATGAAAAAAAAATGTTTATTGTTAATGATTGGCAATTCCAATATTTCATCTGTATTGTGCTTGAATTTTTAATGCCATTTTTCATTTATGACTATTTTTGACTTGTTTCACTTTATTTGTTATTGTTTGTTTTCTTGGATGTTTAGAATTTTAACAATTCATTGGGTGCTGCTGTTTCAAAAGATGTTCTTTCAAGTAAATAAAAAAAAAATTAATATATTATACTCTGCAAGAATTTCAGTCCTGTTAGTGTCTCATTAAACAGTATTTCTTGTTTTTTGGAAAGTAAAATCTGTGAGGTGTCTTAACATCCAGTTGCAATGAGTTCCTGAAACCATTGAATTTATGACTAATTTTATATTCATTCTGAATGAAGTCAGCCATAGAAACTATAAGCTAAGCCAAAAATGTATGTGCACCTCTGCTAGGCATGTCACCATTGTCTTTGTGTGTTCAAATGTCTGAGGGCATGGCCTTTAGTCTGGTTCTGTTTACATTCAAGTAATCTAAAAGCCACCCCCCAGGTAGGGTCGAAAATGGGGTCAAAAATTTATCTTTTTCTATTGTTGACACTTTATGCAAAGTGGGAAAAGATAAATCTCTCCCCCCCCCCCCGATAATGTAATGGGGGTGTCTTATTGATTGTTTTTATACTGTGCGATGTGATTAAAATAAATTGAAAAATTTGTTAACCATATACAGTTACCCTTTCAGCATATTCTAGGTCGGCTGAATGTGATGCTTTTATCAGTGAAGTCTCTTTATAAGGCTTAAGAAGTGGAGTTATTTTTAGTCGTGAGAAATAGTCCTGCTCTCACAGGAAGCTTGGAAGGCAAGCATCTTAAACCACTAAGCTATTTAACTCTGCTCCATTTTGTTGTTTGCTTTGCAGGTTTCCATTGCTTACAGCAGTTTACAAGATCTGCTATGCTGGCAAGCCAGCTGATCAGCTCATACAGTGCCTACATGACCATCCAGAGCATATGTAAGCGTACAGTTTTGCTCACGAAATCAAAACATGTTTCCAATACCTTTATATTTCTTGCTGTGTCAATTATGTTATCTTAATCTTTTAATTAAATATAATCATCATCATTAAATTAATAAATTCATCATTTCTATATTTTTAGTGGTATTCAGATTTTTATTAGAAAAACATGTGTTCAATGATGTATAAATTGTTATATACGTACATATGACATTAAATTTAAGTCTTGATTAGTATTAAGATCACTGCCAATCTGGCATAACATCTATGACATTATTCAACTACTCTACAAGAGGAAATCTGGAATAATGAATAGATGTTGAGATCCAATTGGTATATCAGACTAGGAATATATCTTTATGAATTTAACAAGAAGTATAAAAAGAGAGAAAACCATGCACAAATCTATTCAGGTAAACTTAAAGGTAGAGAAAAATAAATAGGTTAAAAAAAGGGGAATAAAAGGAGAAAAACCAGTGTTGTGAAATTTAAAGCAGATGTAACTGTTAAAATGCATGTGGGCTTTAAGAATTCTACAGTTGGAAAATGTAATATCGATGAAGGAAGACAAATGGTAAATAATAATAATAATGCCAGGGTGTATTTGAAATGTTACACCTTTCCAAAACTCGTATACCAACTGTATTAGAGAAAACCTCAGGAAAATAAAGTCATTTGTAGAGACACTCTTTACTGAAAAAGCTTGTTTCATCATTCTTTTACTAGTGGTCTCATTCATTTTGTTGCTGTATCATAATTATTGAATTGGAATATGACTTGCTACATTTTCACCATGTGCTCTAGCTAACTGTTTGGAGAGTTTAGTGGCCAAAGAGGTTATGGCAGGAGAGCTAGAGATCCTCAACAAAGGTGCTGGTTCAAGACCTGATTAGGGTGGTAGAATAACAATTTTTTTATACTATAAATCGTAAACCCATAGTACAAACATTATTTATACACATTCTGGGAGAAGAGCAGGGAGTTATCCAGGTGATCTAATCCAGACTCTGCTGTGAACGAGAGGTTTGCCCTCATGGCAACATCTGACATGATGGGACTTTCTGGGATTAAAAAAATTGTAGAAATAAGTTTATTTTTAGTTTTATTTATTAAATTTAAATTTGCATAGCAACGGTTGCTATGGTGATTAAAATTATAGTTTTTCTTAACGCAAGATACATTTTCGATGATTAACGAATATTTTGAGTAGGTTTTACCAACTGTTGATAATTATTATTCGAGTAATGTTATTTTTTATATAATTTAGCTAAAACTGCAATTTAAAGTGGAAAAATGGCGGCCATTTTGAATGCGTAATTTGGAGGTGTTCCCCCAAAGGGATTTTGGGTTTAATTTTGAGTTCTGATCTTCTCAAGACCTATATTTTAAGAAAATATTAGCTGGTAGTACTTCCATTGCCACCTCCACCCCAAAATAGCCTCTAATCTGCTCGCCTATTGGTTCAAGCACATACAAACTATAGAAACATGCGCTATGTTTAACAACATTGCTATACCTTTTTATTTAAAATTTTGCAATAGTTTCTTGGGGTGAATACCAATTTCTTTAATTAAAACAAGGCTATCAAAAGTTTATTCATAGTTAATGTTAACTACATAACTTGGGACTCACGAAATGTAAATAATGTGGCATTTGTCAGAAATATAAGTTCAAGTGGCAGTTAAGGTGCTTGTCTTTCAATTTAATAGACATTGGTTCAAATCCTTAGGGATACCATGATTTTTTTTATGACTAAACACACTCCATTAGACTTGTAAAGAGTCTTAGGTATTGAAAATGTAAATAAAATAAAGGAAAAACAGACAATATTTTATTTGACAAAACATATGACATGCCTAAATATGGTCATGATGACATCAAATCATGACCATATATAGGCACATCATGACCATATATAGGCACATCATGACCATATATAGGCATATCATGACTGGCATACAACAGTTTGTTGTCAAATAAAATATGATAATCTGGAGAGCTCTTCAGAATCAAATTTACACGATACGATACGATTCATGCATTATGGAATGAGATTCCTTGATGCACTATTAAGAAGCACTTGAAATGATTGTAAATTGATTAAAAAAACAAGCTGTATTCACTGTTTTGAAGTGCTCTGAATACATGTGTGGAGTGTCTTTAAAAGTATTGTAATTATATTAATTATTTTGTTTATTAAATTACTTAAACCAGTTTTTAAACCATGAAAAACTAAATAAAACCTTGATTCCCTTTGTTGTTTTCCGTACATTGAAGGTGGTGTACATTAACTACTTCCTACGAGAGATAATAAACTTGCATTACAATCATATTCATATGGTTTTACATGTAGTGTAAAAACACATGCAATGCAAATTAATGCAACATTTGTAGATGTATGAAGTGGATGTAAGGTCAGAGTGGCTGAATCCAATGATACCTGTAGTAAATCCTTTGTAAACATCTTGTTTTAATTAGACTATATTTGACTTCTGTCATAAATTTATAATACAATATGATAAATTAACATTTTTATACGCAATACATCTTGTTTTAATATTATCTCATAATCTATTATGATTTTCCGTTAACATGTTATCAGAAAACTAATGCGTTTTTAAGTTACATAAAAGAAATTTATGCATAAAAAATTCATTGTACTTGTTGGTATGCTGTGTAATTCATGTTTAATGATGTTATCTAACAATAATAATAATAGTAGTAGTAATGATAATAAAAGTAATAATAATTATAATAATAATGACAGTATTTTCAACAAAGTTTATTCTGCCGGCTGAAACTTGAATTTGCCTCTCCTTAAAGATAGGGTTGAAGTGCAGCTTTACTAATCATCACGAAAATGCTTTGTAAACGAATAGGCATACTACGGGCCAAAAAAAACACTGCCTGATTTCAATTTTGTATTGCACCATATCTGCAATTTGTTCCATCAATGAATTCAATATGCAAATTGCTTTGTATAGTTAAGCATGGCATTTGTATCTTTCAATAAGAAAGTATTTATCCTTCCAATTAAGAGATTAATACTACACTATATTCACAAATATAGTGAAGTAATATCATTCCTCTTGAACACTTAAATTGGTTGAATTTGAGTTTAATGATTTTCAAAGTAAAAATCTGTAAATCAGAAACAATTAATTGCTTTAAATATCTTTATCTCATTTAAAATTCATCTTTTATATATGAGCATTTCAATATACTATTATATTCAGATACTCGGTTCATACTTAAGTGCTAGTTTAAGAATACGATATGCGAGACCCTAGAGCAGTGGTGTATCTAGGGGGTACACGGTGCATATGCCTCCCAAAAATCTTCCCCCAGAACTCAGCCCCTTCCCCCATTTCAAAACTACAAGATTCACCACTGCCCTACAGGTTTTTAGATTACAGTAGTTACTGTACATGAAACACCCTTTTGTACTAGTAAAAAAAATATCTATACAATACTTGTAATATTATCATCCATTACCTTTTCATATAATACATAATTGAGAATAAGAAACAATTTCTTATAAGGCAAATGTAATTTGTATCGTTTTCATTATATATTATTTATGTGTGTCTGTAGGGATATCGAGGATTGTGCGAAGGTAATTCGTACATCGGAACCAAAATCACGCCTCTGAGATGAGCTGTGGATGTTCTGAATTTCCAGGATTTGAGACCGAATGAGTTGAGGATTGGTTTAGGGGTTAATCCATGATGGTCATCATTAGTGTTCACCTATAACTGATTATAATTACAGTATTAGCACTAATCATAATCATAATTATCAACAAAGGAATATCTAGGGGTCTTTAAAATGGGGGCCCCTCTGATAAGGGCGAGATGGTGAAGTTGGAGGAGGGGTGCTCAATGTAAGTGGGGGGTGGTGCTAGCTCGCAAAGTAAGGTGATATGAGGTGATTTTTAGCTACTTGAGTGTGATTTTCAATGTGGGAGGGATGGGTGACTGGGGTGCGAGCTTTTTTGTGGGGAACCCCTAGATACACCTGATTATCAACACCACCATCATAATCATTCCTCTAATTGTCAGTATCACTGTAGCGGTCCCAAGTTTAAAGAAGCCACTTTTGGGATGGTTTCAAGAGTTTCATTCAACACACATTATTTGAGGTCATGCCTTGAGAAAACAATTAAAATACATCATACAATGAATTAGTTTGTAAGAGATCTTGTTGCTTGCGGAAGACTGAGAACTACCGATTTCAGGGAGACATGCAACACACAAGACTTGGGACTCCATCATTGTTATTTTATGTGTTGAACATCATCATATATATATATATATATATATATTCAGGTATAAATAATTTGTAATCATTATCATCTTGTATCATACATCTTATGTATTATAGTATATTTTGACAACCAATAAAATGATTTAATCATTATCATGTTTATCGTCATCCATGTTGATATACCTCTATAATTGCACTCATCTTCCTGATAATCCTGTTCACTGCATATATAAACTACTAATTATTAAACTGCAACTTGATGACATTTACAGCAATAAAGTGTATATTGGAGATTACAAGCTTTATCAGTTGTCTTTTTATTATGCTTAAAATATATATTGATCAAATTAAAGTGTGATATGGTTTTCAAGTGATGTAATTTAATAATACAAATTAATATTATAGGTATAGGAAATGATAAAGTGCTTCCTTTCCTAGGGATATTCAAAATAAAATCACTGCTTTTTAGTGAGACAGCAATTAGATCCTGATAAAGCTGCCAAGTTTAGGTGTGTTGCTGGCATGTGTATGATTGGGGCTGAGTTTTTAATTTTTAGCATTTCTAGACTTCCAAATAACAAATAATGAAATACTTAACTACAAATTAGGCCACCACGAAAAGAGATTGTGTAAAATAACCAACATTAGGCCTGGTTGGACATGTCGGACCACTTGTCGGCAAATTTCTGGAGCCACTGCTGGCTTGAGTCTAAAAGCATGAATCTTGTCTACTGTTTTAGATGTCTTTTTATATGTACAGTACCATATATATTTATTGTATACAAATTTGACTAACAAGTACTTATATTTTTTAACTGTGTCCTAAAAACATCATCATCTTTATCAAAAGATTACCAGTCCAACCCATCCTGCAGCTGCAGCACACAAACACATTATGTGTATAAAGATAAACGTGCATCTTTTGAAGGATATCTACACAATAATAATACTGTAATGTAATAATACTTTATTTGTCCCTAGTCAAAATGGAAATCGAAAACTTGTGCTGGCCCCTGGGACCTGCAGTGTAGTCCTTTGTCCTCCCAACTCTCAATAATGAGGGTTATCAAGGAGCTGAGTGATTACTCCAACTAAAACCAGACGCCACCCAGGATTGAACCAGGGTCTACAGCACAAGAAGCAGGAACACCATCTCGCCGTCTCCGTTCATCTTCTCGAAATCTCCTCTCCAAATATTCTACCAAAACTTATCATATGGTCAATGCCCATTTTCCTTTGCTTCTGCTTCTCTTTGGAACCAGCTTCCTATTACTATAACTGCTGCTTCTACTCTCTGCAACTTTAAATCGCAACTTAAGACCTTTTTGTTTTCCAAGGGTATACACTTGCATAGTGCACCTTTGATCTCTTTTGGAATTGGCACCTTGTAAATTCCGGATTATTATTATTATTATTATTATGATTAACAATACCTTTGGCCAACTGCTTAGCTCTGGGCATCTAAAAAAAAATCTAACATAACAGAGAAATACCTGTCCTCCATACTGAAATACAGTATACAGCAGGGGCGGATTTAGGGGGGGCCGGCCCGGCCCCGGGCGGTAAAAAAAGAAAAAAAAAAGAAAAAAAAGAGAGAAAAGGAAAAAATGATGGCTAAGAATGCCTCAAATGTTATGTTCGGGCGTCTAGAACACAAAAATTTCGCGGGGCATGCCCCCAGACCCCCTACGACAGTTTTGTCTCAATCGGCCCAACTTTCGGCCCCCCCTTTTGGACATTTCTGGATCCGCCCCTGTACAGAAAGAACACACAAATAATCTCAGCTTATTACTGTAAAGCAAAACTTTAATAATACTCTATTATAATAGCAAACTTTCTGTCTTCTTGGAGTTGATCATTTCTTATATTTTCAGTTGAATATGTTTCCTTTTAATAACAATAATAATAATATGTTAGACTTATATAGCACTTAATGCCAACAAGGCCTCTAAGCACTTGACATTATTACCCCTAGTCATTGGATCACATGGAACATATACTCAGCTCCCTGGGGAGAATTTCACAACATTGCAGCTGTAATCAGCACATTTTGTGCTTGAACCTACCATATAGAAATAAGGCACACTTTACTTTATTTCTTTGAAAATATTTATCAAAATAAGGATAAATATTCAGAATTAATAGTTACACACAAATCAGGCACGGGCCATCAAATGCCCTGAGTTGACATCCTGCAACTACTGAATCACAAACACATTGACTATTTATTACTGACACAGAATAGACTAATACTAATAATATTATGTCAAACTTATAAAACACTGGTAGATAAAATATCTATGGAATACATACTAAGCTCCCAGGAAAGAATTTTTTAATATATTGCAGTTAGTAATCAGCATGTTGGTGTTTGAACCTATCAAACAGTGTCACTCACTTACTGTATATTCCTGGTTGGATTGCCTTGCCCAAAGTCACTAGCAAAATGACCAGCAAGAAGTTCGAACCCACACATCAAGGCTGAGAACCTCCATTGCAAACGCTACGTCAACCACTCCCACGTCACTGATAATGCTTACTGCTGACCGTAATGGCTACTGAAAATCAACACTACCTTTGCTTTTTTATTGGCGTGCAGCAAATATTTTTAACAATGCCATGTATCATTTAACTTGGCTATACAGTACTTGCAAAAGTACATACCATATTTATTTGAATAAACGTCCCCCTTTGAATATAATCCCCTTCCAGAGCCTCATTGGAATAAATTCCCCTCCCCCAAATGAATGTAAACAAAACTAATGGCAGTAACATCATTCTCAACACATTCTATTAATATTTCACTCCAGTAGAATTACATTTTGTATAACCTGGTTGAGATTAATACATCTTTAAAATAATGCAATAACAATCTTTGATGGCAATTTGTGTTATAGTTTCACATTTGCAGTGAAATTAAGGGGCGTTTATTTGAGTACTGTATATACAGTAGGTATCTATTTTACACAAAAAAGAAAATACACACCACTCTCGAATATACCTCTCCCTTAAAAACTCTTCTCAACAATAAATGCCCCGGGGCATTTATTTGAATAAATACGGTATTTCAAATGTAAAATCTAACAAATCATTTATAAATAGCAGATTCTACTTTTCATACATGCAAAATTTACAATTATATATAAAATATAAATAAAATGTATAATTTTTTATTTTACTAATAAACATGAAATTACACTTTTTAATATAAATCAAACACTCTGATGAAGCACAAATGGAAACTTATAAAAGGCAAGAGAACATTATATACTGAGCAATTAGGGCATAGAATGCAATCCCAAACCAAATTAGAATAAATTTTAATTATTTCAAACTTTAAACCAAGTACAACTTTTAAAAAATTTATCAAAATCAACAATATTTAAATTCTCTCCCACAACCCAGTTTTGCCTTCATCCAGATTAACTTGGCTCTTCTGTTTATAAAGTATTTAAGCAGGGGTGGATCCAGTAGGGGACTGGGGGAACTTGTCCCCCCTTCCTGTTTTCCACTAAATTTCAATGCATATCAATGTTTAGGCAAGACTTTTTTTATTCCTTGTTTTGCATACTTATTCTTTTAAAGATCATTGGAGCAGGGCGGAATAAAAATACAAATAAAATTTTGTTGTCTTATTTAGCAAATACTGTAGTTTTGCCAAAAGCATCCAGACGGCGGAAAAAAATAAAAATAAAATTTTATTGGTGAATGTAAAATGGGACAGTTAAATGCTTCAAATTTATATAATTAGGAAGAAATATACATATCTTATCTTTGGAGATTTCAAGGCAGTGGAGGGCGTAATAAAAATAAAGAAAAACTTTTTTTTCCTGAAATTTCAACTTTTTTTTTTCTGAAATTTCAACTTTTTTGTGGCGGCGGGTGCGCTAATTGGCCAAAAATAAAATGTTATTTTTATTCGAAATCATCAATATTTGCCGTCGGCAGTTTGCTAAAATAAGGTATAAAAAAAGTCTTGCCTTATGTATTGAAATTAGCGCTACTCACTTATCTATTCTGGAAATGTTGTGCCCTCATTTGAAAAATTCTGGATCCGTCCCTGTTAAGTTTATATATATATATATATATATATGGTATGATGCCAGGCTAGTGATCTGGAGATCGTGGGTTGGAGTCCCACCCGAGAACAACTTGCGATTTTTTTCGCAGTTGTTTTCAAATGTACTGAGTATTCGGTACATTTCCACGTATGTACATATATATATATACATACAAATATAAATCATCAAAGAAAGAAACACTTTTTGTCTTGATTTATATTATAAAAATATCCTGCTGTCAGAGGAATTGAACCCAGGACCCTGAGATTGGAAGGCAAGCATCTTAACCACCAAGCTATTCAACTACACTCCAATATGTGGGCATTTGGGTATACCATGGAGTGATCAAAACCAACCATGAAATTCAATTTCTAACCTCATAATATCGCAAATCATTTTTTTCTTTAATAATTACAAAAAAATGTTCTCTACCTAGATGATTTTGAAAAAAATATTTTCCGTAATATAAAAAAAAAAAAAAAAATTTTCTCCTCCCTTTTCTCTGAAAATAAAGTTCACTAAACAAGAAGTAACATGCCTTGCCTTAAACTCTATTCACATGAGAAGAAAATTTAGCATGTATCCAGTGCTACTACTTTCAAATATTTTTGGTGCTTTGGGGTCATACATTTTCTGTCATTAGTTTAAAAACTCCTTTCTAATTAATGCCAACAAAAATTTTAAAATATATGCACTGTGACTTTAAAGGACACGTAATGATATAAGATATGCAAGAATATGACATAACTTTGTTTTGTAACCAATCAGCTGCTCGGAATGCCATCATGCTCCATATCCGATGAGCTACTACTGCTTTCAATATCTGCTTTGGCGACCTTTTCTTCTAGTTGCTTCTTAATTGCTTCTAATCGCTGTTCCAGGACCAAGTATGAAAATGACCCCCTCCTCTCACCGAAAGGATCCTGTGCAATTAAAAACAAACAATTCTATTTCAAATTACAAAAACCAAAACAGTAAACACTTGAACCCAAATGTACTATATAGGCTCCTTGAAGTATCAATATTAAGTGAAGGTGAAAAAGATATTCAAAAATGAAGACAATTGACCAAAATATCCTACAGTAGCTCAATTAGGAGCAGGTAAGTTGGCATACTATCATGCATTTTACAAAAGATATCATTTTTCAGAAACCATATTAAATAAATAGTGTGATGACATATACTTATATTGAACATAATCTGCTCAGAACAGCAGTTACTAATTCAGGATTATCCAGTATTTGACAACCTTGCCAGTGGGTCCAGGAGAAAAAACTTATAATTTTGGAGAATTTCAGTTATCTGTGATAATTTGCCAGAAGATAACCATCACAAAATTTGTCATATGAGCAAATATGATGACGAAACCTAAGTAAGTATAGCCTTTTTTGTGAAAGGTATATTGTCTCAATAAAGTAAACTGAACCCATGATTACCATGTAGTTGTTTAATATATATAATATACAATTTAATTGCCATGGTTTTATATGGGTTTGTTGTTGCCATTCAATATACTGGTACAACAAAAATGTGCTGAACCCAGAAAAAACTGCAACAGAATTTACTGAATCTGGAAGGGAGATTCAATGACCCTGATATAACTAAGCACAAGCTGGTCAGAATTTTGCAGAAGGGATCCGGGGGGGTCCAATAATCTGTAAAAATTACATAATTTCTTCTTTTATAACACATTGGTTTTTCTCTCTGACAGGGGTGGGTGGTGGGGGAGCTCTATTCATTGGGGACCCTTCCCAATGCCCCGCCACACCTGCATGGACATGCAGGACTCGTGTTCTGCAATATATATTATAAAGTATACCGCGACTTTGGTTACTAACCTGCATTATAATTCCTGACAAATGACTCTTCTTATGAGCAGTTGACTTGTAGTAATCGTAGAAATCATGAAATGAAGTTTCCATAACTTGCCTTGATAATTGGGAAAAAAAACCCCAGAAATTTAACACGGGCAGATTATAGTAATTATAACAACAATATTAACAATAGTAGAGGAATATACAGTGCAGCAGAAAAGCTTTCCAACAACAGATGCATTATTTGATGTTTGACCCAAAGGTGAGGAAACAAAACCATGATTCAGGAGAGATGGTGCCATTCTGCAAGCAGTAGTATATGTAAGGGGGCACATTCAAAGAAAAGGTATGTACACCCACTGAATAAATACTAAGTTCAGTAAAAACAAAAATTACACATCAGAATTTCCTCCTGGTGCCTCATTCCTGCTGGTAGGGCCGCCTCACCCCACCCCCCCATAGCATACAACAACCCACATTCTGCTTAAAAAGTTTGAATGTTTCCATTTATTCACAACCAGCAGCACAAATTGTTTGAATGCATATATAAATATACTGTGTCTAATCACATCCCACAAAGCAACAGAAAATATTTGAATGCATACCTTAATGGCCCTGGAAGTGTGCTGTGTTTTATCATATCACACACAGCAACACGGATTGTTTCATGTCGGACACACTCATTATACCTCTCAGAATCTCCTGAATGACGCTCCTTTGGAAATAAGAATAAAGCATTTTTAGTGGTAGCATGAGACATAATAAATTTTACTAATAGTTTTATCAGTTTCCTCAGTGTAGTAGAAGGGTAGCAACAGTAGTAGAATTAGTGTGACAGCAACAATATTAGTAGAACTGCAGAAAGGAGTAGTAACACTAATGTAGCAGAGCAGTGTAGGCATGACTGGCATGCAATAAGCAGCATAGTAGCAACAGTTTAACAAAGCAGCAACAGTAGAGAAGAGTAATAGGAGCAGTGGCATAAGCAGCAAAAGTAGCAGTAACAAAGCAGTAACAGAAGCAGTGGCAGTAAGTAGCATAGCAGCAACAGTAGTAGTAACAAAGCAGTAACAGAAGCAGTGGCAGTAAGTAGCATAGCAGCAACAGTAGCAGTAACAAAGCAGTAACAGAAGCAGTGGCAGTAAGTAGCATAGCAGCAACAGTAGCAGTAACAAAGCAGTAATAGAAGTAGTGGCAGTAAGTAGCATAGTAGCAACAGTACCATCAAAAGTTATGCAGTCATACCTGTTCAAACCCAGGTTCATTGTGGTATGGTTTATCATTTAATAGTGACTGGATTGAGATTAACACACTCATCAAGCTCTGAGCAGGGCTCCAAGATGGTCCAGGCCACGTCCTGAAAATCAAGGTGAACACTTTAATTTCCATCTAAAAATTATTTAAATTATAATTAAATTAGTGATTCTTCAACAGGACTTAGGGTGAGGTAGTGAGACAAAGCATTACTAGTATTTGGTTTGGTGTTGGAACTGACAATTATATGGTGGGATAGTCATAAAAGAGAAGGAATGAGGAAGGAATACATCTCATAACAAGCAACCACATTTTTATTGCACAAAGTGGCTGGGAAACGCCTAACAAAAAGCCAGTCAGATCATTCCTGGTAAGCTTGAGCTCATTTGGAATAATTTGTGACAGATGTAGAACGATGGAAATTTTATGTCACATACAGATCAATTTGCTCGGAGAGAACTATTATAATCCCACCTACTGTACAACTACAACAGCCTGAAGCTGACTGGTTAATGACAAGCTTTGGTAGTTTGTTCAACTATCACCCTACCCTACGTATTGCAGCTCCGAGTAATGTCTCAATTAAGTAATATGACTTATTTTCATAACACCAGCATATAACTATACACAACCACACAGATGACGGTACTGTTTCGCACATCTGCCACAAAGCAGGTGTCTAAGGAATATTGTAATAATCATTCCACAAATTATCATCATCTTACAACATTATTATCATCTCACGTACTAACATCGCCTCATAACCTGTCTTGCATCTACATTACCACCTCACAATATACTAGAACTGTAAAACCGCATGACATCTTACCCGATAGTGCTTAGACAGACTTTTCCGCTTTTGTACAAGTTAGGATTGAACCGAACCTGTCCACCACCAGTTGTGACAAGCTTCACTCTGGGTGGCTGAATCGGGTAGTTTGGCGGAAAACGAATAAAGAAGTGGAAAAATCCTCCTTCGTAGGGAGTATCAAAAGGGCCGGTAATAAGTGCATGGACCTGAAAGATATATAATTTCAATGGACACAATAAACAATGGATGTACACTATGCAGTTCCTTCCCAAAATAATTTAATAAGCCCACACTTATTCATGTTTTGCTGGTTATGTTCAGTTACACATTTCTGGTGATAGAGTATCATGTCTTCAAAACTATACAATTTATTCAACATAATAGATAGATTATTCAAATTTTTATAAAATGACTAAATGTTTTGTACATTTATTTGTAAATTTTACCAACCTTTGTTATGTCTTCCTCTGGAACAATGCACATGCCAGGAGCAGGATCATTATAGATGCTAATAATATCACTGAAAAAAGAAACAAATTGTTTTTTAACTTTTGGATAAAATAATGTCATACTTTATGTATTATCTATTTCACTGAGAAAAAAAACCTATATTTCCAATAAATTTTAGAAAGTATAATACATACTCCGAGTATTGAAATGCATGCCATCGTGTTGGGATTCAATATTTCGACATTAATTATGTCATCATCAGGAATGAATAAATTTTGTTATGCTATTGACAAAAAAAAATTAAACATTTATATAAATAGCTATAATATAAATTGTTTGAATGGCCTAGGCCCTAGCCTAGGCTATATGAAGCCTCAATTTACTAAAACTTTAGCCACATTTCTATTTTCCAATATAAATGTATTATATTAATTAGGAATGTTTTTGATAGTTTTCATATTCTTTAAATGTTAGGCCATATAAAAAAAAGTTGTTGATCGTCCTCTCCCTAGTTAAAAAAAAAAATCGCCCAACATATTTTTTTTGTTTTCGCTAAAATTAACAAAAATGTCGTCTTTCTGCTCATAATGCAACTTTGGCTAGGCCTTGGCTTGTTTTGGGGTAATTATTTTGTCTTTCAACTGTTCGTTCATATAAATACACTGGAGGGAGATCCAGCAAAGTCAGCCACCATTTACATGAGTCCTTGCACTCCATGGGAGATTTGAAGTCTTGGCATGTATCAATGGGGTGTTTCACTTAAAAAAAAAAAAATTTAAAATCCAACTCTTTTTTTTTACATGGCTTTAGTGAAAATCCTGATTTTTATATTTTTCAACTTCAATTTGCATTATTATTATTAGGCCTAGCCTAGCTAGGCTAGGGCCTATACTTTTTTTTGTTTGTATGTTTACAAATGGATTGCAAATATAGGCTAAGTGTTTTTTTTTTGTGTTATATTGATTGTATTAATGCTAGACCTCTTAATATGCCAGGCCTAGGCTAGTATTGCATGCCCAGCTGCCTTTAATTAAATTAAATCTAGGCTAGAGGACTAGCCTAGTGGCCAATAATATAAAACTGTCAATTTTGTCGAAGCACTGACTAGGCCTACCCGGCTAAACCAACCTGTGATACATTATAGGCCTAGCCTATCTAGGAGTTCTAGGTCTCTCTGATTGAGGCTATAATAAGCCTAGCCTCGGGCCCGTTCTAAGCGGCACTTAGTTTAGACCGCCTAGCCTAGAGATAGTAGCGCTAGGTAGGCTGTTCTTAATTTTTACCGTTTAATCCGCATTATGCATTGAGGTGTCACGGTTTCATTGTCCCAATCTTTACTCGCAGCAGGGTCCCAAGATCGAACTGAGACGTTTTTATGGGCCATTTCAAGTACTTCGGCCGCCTCAGCCATGTTGTTGTGTATTTTGTCCGTTCTAAATGTGAAGCGTCAATAAATAATAATAGCCCTAAAAGAACTCCCCGTAAAAACCCTGGCCTAGGCGCCCATCTCACTTGTGTTTACGTTTTCGTCGTGAATGACACCATTGAGGGCAGGCTCCTGTTTGACAGATTTTACACACACACTCGGCGGATACGGAGTCTACGTAAACTTTACAGATGATCTGGCGCGTTGAATTGAAGAATTCAATTTCTCTGCATCTGGTACAGTAGTAATCAATAAGGATATTCTTTTTGCAGAAAATCGTCTAAAAATCAACGATAAAACTAATTTGTTTCGATCTGCTTTTCTGGTTGGAAGTTAGTAACTTATTTGATCCTTATGAGATATTCAAAGTTTTAGATGAATTCTTAATGTATTTTCCGACTTTTTTTGCAATGTATATTTTAAATAATATACAAAAATCAAGGATACTCCTCATGATAAATAATTAATTGAGATCGTGGAAGCAATCTCGACTTCGACAGTGTTCGGAAATCAGTGGCGGATTCGGGGGAGGGGCTAAATTATTCAAATTTTTTTTTTAACTGTAGCTGGTCCAGGAAGTCGAAATAGAGGGGACCCATGGAGGGTCTTGTGCAAATGGAATTTCCACCCACCCTAGCCCCACAACGGTTGGGGCTGAGGCAAGAACAAATTATGATTATTGCACCTCAGATGGCCGGAAATGGCACTCTCAAAATAAAAGCTGAATACAATTTTGTCTGTTTCCTCCATTCTTTTATAACTTTGAAAAAAATAGGTTGGGGCCCGTGCTGAATGGGCTCCCCTTGTATTCGCCACTGTTCAATATCACTAACTTGACATTTCACAAATGACTAATTCCTAATGTCATGCGAAAGATTTTTATTATTCGAAAGACTTTTTTTTTATATTCAATAGGCTTTTTACAACCTATAACACATTAACTACAGTGTACTGTAAATTCTGTAGTTAACATTCAGAGAACTTTATTTTTTATGGTTAAATTAGATGGAGTTTATAAATGTGGCTTATTACACTTGTTTTGAGTTTTTTTTTCTCATACACTCAATATAATAAAGACATGCGCACTCGAGTCGTGTATTATAATTAATTCAGATATTTGTGGCAGAGATACTGGTATCTTGCTATAAAATAAGATGTACTCTGTTCAGTTGAACCTGCAATCTCTCACTATCAAGTTGAGTATTATACCTTCAGACCACAGAGACCCAAAGGTATACACGCAGGTCTAACCCCTGCGCACTTTCCCTTGGGACATAGTAAAAGTGTTCACCGACCCCAAGTCTAAGTTTATTTATTATTGATATTTATTTCAACAATTATAGATAGGAAGAAAGATGATTGGTCATAACATCAAAGCTATTTCACTAAGGCTCATATTGATTAGCAGTAAGATGCTGTAAGAAAATTAAGGAGTCATAAAAAACTTGGTCTCAAAGACTCCAAAATTTTTCACAAACCTGTGTACACTTTTGACTTGACGGACCCCCAATTAATACTGGTGGACAACTAACAAGTTGATGGACCCCAGGTTCGGAACCACTAGTGTAGTGGTATGACCTCTGCAGAACATTTAAACCTTTAGCTTATAGGGTATCGTCGTAGACATAGAAGACAATCACCTTCATAACGAGAGATTGGAATCCTCAAGACCTCTTGAGCAAACCTAATTTGAATATAATATATGTCACAACTATTTTAAAGAATATATTTATAAATTAATAATGAATTGTGCTTTTGAGTTTGAGTGATTCATCTAGTGTTTCCCACAGCCAAATTCGGACTAAATTACCAACTTTACAATAACAAAAAAACATGATATTCTTTGAACAAATGAAATTTATTTTTGTATAACTTTTCTTTGCTCTTTTTCTCTTTGCAATATATTATATAACACTGGTAATAAAAAAATATTTAAAGTAGGATATAAGTTACAAATCATTTTTTCTTCTTTTTCCCGCCAGCTTTACTCTTAGGTTTAGCATACTTCGCTTCCAACTGAGCAAAGAAATTGTCGGCCCCTTGTTGCCGTGACGCCTGTCTCTTTTGAATCATCGCCATGAGAGCATCATCACCGTTTTTAACCTTAAGATCTTTCATCACCTTCTCTGCTTCCTTCTCCTCTGCCATTGCCTATTATAAGTTGAAAATAAAAAAATGGTCATGTTATATTCAGCACTGGCGGTAAATGGCACACCATCACCACTGTATCTAGAAGCCTTGAAATAAGGTATTGATGGGGGTGCGAATTGATGGAGTGCTTGATGATTGAGTGATGGAGCACTAGGCTGCCAAGTAAGGTGATTTGAGGTGATTTTTTTTGTTTCGGACATTTTCAAAGGGGGTGACTGGGAGCATTAAATGTTGTTACCATCATTAAAGTGTTTTTAAAAACTTAATGTTTGTTGAACAGGGAAGATTGAACTATACAGAGAACTTTCAAACTGAAATTTTAGCTGGAAAGCTGTCAATTAATGGTAAAGTTCATTGTCATGGTTCATCTGATCTAGAAACCCAGCCGCTGTCATATCGTCCTTAATCACCACTAAACCTTGCTGGTACATGACGAAATGAAAAGCACAGAGTAAATGCAAGTAGCATCTCCTTACAACATACTTAATTACTGTACCTTGGATCGGAGAAGAAATCATATACAGATAAAGTTGAATACTATATAACAATACCTTCTTCTTCCTTTTCTTCACTTTTTGCTTGTCCTCTGTTGTGAAATTTTCAAACTCTTCTAATTCTCCTTTGGCAATCAATTCTTGTAACAACTTTCTGAACCTTGGCTCGTCCGTGTATGTACAGCACATCACGTTCTTAAGGATTTGTTCCATGTCTCCTCTGAATTTCAAGTATGCTGATTTCAGCTCGTCTAACTCTTCTGGTGATCCTGCAAGTAATTAAAGGTACAGTAGTTTGTTGGGAGAGTATTGTTATATAATTATTTTTAAATTTACCAAGCAGTGTTTGTGATAATATACCATGGCCAGCTGACTTCAGGGAGATATTTATAATACAGTAGTAAAACTTGCAAACATCATGAATTAGCAGGAGATGCGTTTTAGCTTATGGAGGCTTTTCCTTGTTTGCAAGAGTGAAAGAGATCATGCAAATAACAGGGGACTTTAGGAACTCTGCTTTTGAACTCTTAATAAAAAAAAATGGAATTATTGCATTAAAAACACATTCATGTACAGGATAGGTTACCTCTGATCATAAATTCATTATTAAACTTTTACTGGGATTTTTGGTTAATTTCAGCCTTAATGAAAATATATTTATGTAGGACATTATATTTGGCAAAGACAAGCCATTTTAAAGCTCTCATTTTCATCTTCAACCCTATATTAATAACTAAAAATCGATTTTTGCGATGAGTGACTGATTTAGCTTGTCTTTGCCACATATGCTGGGCTTCTTTATCTATAAGGTCATCCAGCAATTGTATTCCTATCGTATGTGATATTAATTAAAGCTTTAAAATGTTTGTGCTACAGCATTTATTTGTCATTTGTCAATAGTAAATAAATGTATTCATGCATTTTTTACCTCGATATGTTTCTTCATATTTCTCTATGTCGTTGACAGTAAGCTTCGGGAAGAGCAACCGCCAATAATCAATCCAGTCCCTGTCCTGCTCCATATCAATCTCATCATCAATTTCTCCTACAAGAGATAAATAACATTAAAATTGTAATAATGTTATTAACACATTTATATAGTGACTAGTGCAAAAATACTTAAAGCTCTTATAAAAGTGACTCATGATTTTATCTTGTTATATAAGACTAGTAAACACCATCCCCTAATGTTTGCTTGAAAAGACTGAGAGCAAGGCAAGTCTTTTAGCTAGAATGCACAAACATGAATCTATACCTGCCAACTTTGTTGGTGTCTGATGTGTGAGAAAAAAAAATGTAGTGCCCTCTATTTAATGATCCTGAAAAAAAGTGCCCTCTATGTTAAAAAAAAAATTGGAACTGCTATAGATTACAGTCCTCGGTTGGTATAGCTTTGTTAGAAATTTATATAGTCATTATTCACATTTTAATGAGAAATTTTAGGGTATAATTGGCCTATGCATTTTATCTAAGTTTGTTCGAGATGTAAAATGTAGGCATGAGACGTAAAAAATGGATGCTCATGCGTGAGGCTTGCGCATTATGCGTGTGAGTTGGCAGATGTATGATGAATCTGAAACCACCAAACTTGCTGAAGTTATCAGCCCTGACAATAAGTGAAGCTGTAGCTTAGTGAGGATAATGCTTGCGTTCAAGTTGAGCATCACCACCATAATTGCTATTGGATGAGACTAAACTTCATATTCTGTGTATGATTAAAACATTGGTTTACCTGATTCATCATAGAGGGCGCGCTTTCCTTTATCTGACAATACAGCATAGATCTTTCCAAGTGTTTGGAATTTCTTGGTAGCACTCTCTTTATCCTCACACACCCTGTCTGGGTGCACCTTCAGTGAACACTTGTGATAGGCTTTCTTTACTGAAATTGATAAAAAGGTATTAAAGGAGCAAATAGCCAGCATACAACAGTATACATGCTTGAGAATCTATATCTCGGTCATCCAGGCTGTTCTTCCCTTTACGCATGCGTGTGTAATTACGTCACACTGTAGATCGTGTTTTACCGGCGAACATATGTATACTGTAGCTTCTAGTTATAATTACTTGCCTGGATGGATTATTTGCTAGTTTCCCATCCGTCCAGGCACTCACCGTTGTGTACGTGAATTGGGAGCCGCCTGCAACGATGAGTTGGTTAATTGTCATGACAATTGAGCAATGGTGGGTCCAAAAGCTGCCTGAACGGATGATAACCGACTGAAATTTCCATTTCTCGAGGTGCCTGGACGAATGGGAATCTAGCAAATCATCCATCCAGGTAGGTAATTATAACTAGAAGCTAGATGTCAGTCCTGTTCGCTAGTAAAACACAATTTACAGTATGATGTGATTACATACGCATGCGTAAAAAGAACAGCCTACATAGATTCTCCCTAAAATATAGGCCTAGGTAGTCTTGCTTGTTAGCGGCCATCTGGTAAGCCTAGCCGGATTTGCCAAGACTGTAATTCAAACATGGAATAATTATAAAAAAAAGTACCAAAAACAATTCAGAACTTTAGTGTCACAGAGCATTTTTGCATTTAAAACAAACGAAAGTACTATTTCACTCACAAATAAAAGAATATACAAATATATATGTGTATATATATATATATATATATATATATATAAAAAAAAAGTACCAAAAACAATTCAGAACTTTAGTGTCACAGAGCATTTTTGCATTTAAAACAAACGAAAGTACTATTTCACTCACAAATAAAAGAATATACAAATATATATGTGTATATATATATATATATATATATATATATACTGTATATATATGTATGTATATATAATGTATATTTAATATGCCTATAAATCAGTATTGTCATTTTTATGTTATTATCGTTAGAAAGATAGATAGATAGATAGAAAGCTTTCTTTATTTTCTGGATACTCAGTCAGTATTGTTACTGTTCTTCCCTGAGGTCCAGGGTATTATCTTAAACTACATTATATTACAAAATAAAATTAAAAGAAAATTGCATAAAACTATATAAACAGTATAAAAATATAGATTATATAAATACAAGAAACAGAAAATAAAAACAAAAGGGAAATTAAATGAGATTTTTAAAGGATTGTAAGGAAAGTGAATGAATATTGTTACGAAGGTCTAATGAGAGATTATTCCATAATTTAACAGAACGATATTTAAAAGTTCTTTTTCCAAAATCATTTCGCCATTGTGGTAAGACAAAAGTGTTTTTAAATTTACTTCTTGTATTTATGCTATGGTACAGTAAGCATCAATTAAAAATTAGTTAAAATATTCAGGAACAGTGCCTGATAAGCATTTAAATGTCATTAAAAGAATATGTTCCCATTGTTGGTTTACATCCTTCCAGTTAGGAGATTCCATAAGGTCATTGTTCATATCGTTGTTAATCATTAGTTTTCAGTGCCTTTTTTATTAATATTATTTCAAGTGAAATTTGCATTCAAATTTCTTTTGGTAATTATTTCGTAAATGTACAGTAAATTGGGGCTGAGCTAACTTGGGCAGAGTGACTACTTAGGGCCAAGTTGACTTGGGGCCGAGTTGACATGGGGGCCGAGTTGACTTGGGCCCAAGTTGACATGGGGGCTGAGTTGACATGGGGGCTGAGTTGACATGGGGGCCAAGTTGACATGGGGGCCGAGTGAACCTGCTTCCGACATCCGCTTAAATGTCTCATCCGAAAGACTGTGTGTGCGCCATTGTAATTTTTATTTCAGCCCTGCAGCTGAAACACAAAAGGAGAGGCAGCGATTGGAATTCAAACCAGGGACCTAGGCCTAGTAGCCTAGAGATCTCCACTGTTAAGCGCACACACAATGGCTACCACCAGATTAGCTGACTGAGCTAATTAGCTACTCTCTCTGCATTCTTAAAAGTTAGGCTTAGGCCTCTAGGCTAGGCCTAGCCTACCTTGTTGGTAGGCCTAAAGTGGGAAAGTACAGCGCCACCTAGCCTAGGCCTAGGTCCTAGGGCCAGGCCTAGCTAGCTAGGTAGCTAAGTAGTCTGTGTTAACTAGCTTCCGAGTTCTGACCTAGGCCCCTGCCCAGTACCCTATATACATCAGTAAACAAAGACATGTAATTTATGACGAGAGAGCTTCTAGGCTGCCTAGGCAGCCCCCCCCCCAGCTAGTTAGGATATAGGAGAAGGCCTAACCCAGGCCTAGGCCTAGTAGTAGTAGTAGAGAGCTAGCCTAGGCGAATTCGATCCAACTCGGCCACAAGTCAACTCGGCCACAAGTCATAGGCCTAGCCTACCTTGTTGGTAGGCCTAAATTGGGAAAGTACAGCGCCACCTAGCCTAGGTCCTAGGGCCAGGCCTAGCTAGCTAGGTAGCTAAGTAGTCTGTGTTAACTAGCTTCCGAGTTCTGACCTAGGCCCCTGCCCAGTACCCTATATACATCAGTAAACAAAGACATGTAATTTATGACGAGAGAGCTTCTAGGCTGCCCCCCCCCCCAGCTAGTTAGGATATAGGAGAAGGCCTAACCCAGGCCTAGGCCTAGGCCTAGTAGTAGTAGTAGAGAGCTAGGCTAGGCTGGACCTAGATTATGTCATTATTTTTACTTACTTTGGTCTGGTTTTACAGATTCTTCTACACCAAGTATGCTGTAAAGGTTTCTTTCATTAAAATGCTCTTCACAATCATCTATTAGTCCCATATTACAAAATGTAATTTTGCATCAACGCAGCACATAAAGTCTGAGAGAGAGTTACCGCTATGAAATTTAAGTTTCCCACCTCATGATTTCCCTCCACTCTACATCTCCGCGCAGAGCCATCAGATATGGAACGCCGTTTCAGTATCTTCGGTTATGTGTAAACACTCTATCATGACGTATGTGGTTTGGTCATTTAATGTTATGTGGTTTGGTCATTATGTACAGTTATGTGGTTTGGTCATGGTGTTATGTGGTTTCTCATTATGTTATGTGGTTTGGTCATGACGTTATATAGTTTGGTCATGATGTTATGTGGTTTGCTGACTATGTTATGTGGTTTGCACATAGGCCTTTTCACGAATCGGAAGACATCATGAAGTGATGACAAACATTGCGAATCAGCGGTGCGTAACCAACAGAAATAAGATAAGCTTTTGGGCTGATTTTTTGACATCATGTTATTTAAAAAAATCATAACTCTATAACGGGGCGTCGTATCCAAAATCTTTTTCCAGAAAAATGTGTTTAAAAGACTAGTCTACACCACTATATGATTGAAAAAAAGTAGAAAATTTTTTTTGACCTCTGAAATCAAGATTGAAAAAGAAAAGCCTATCTCAGTAGTGTATTAAAATAGGTATATGCATTACATTGCTGTAGTACTAGTAATACTCTGAACTAGCATTGTTTTAGTTACCATATGAGAGTTTCCTGTGTTAAAAACATGATTTGCTATACTATACCTCTTTATAAAACATAACTTGTACTTCATAATAAGAAAAATCTGTATGTTATCGCTACTTGGAACAGTAAAGTCCTAAGCTACTGCACTGTAATGCATAGGCCTATTTTAATTGTTTTTTTTTAAATGTTTTTATTTATTTTTGTACTGTAAATTGTCTCATCAAATCACTATATATGTTTGATTGCAATAAAGTTTAATTATTATTATTATTATTATTATTATTATTATTATTATTATGATTATTATTATTATGATTATTATTAACAGGGGTCTTGGGTCAGAGTGGGTATTTATTTTTTTTATTTTTTTTTAAGACCATCCATCTTTAAAGAGGGTAACCCTTCTAGTTTAGCCCAGTAGGTTAACTGATATTCAGGGGCCCTCTTTAATAAAATTAAAGAACAGTACAAACAATAATAATGATGAT